CCCCAGAGCGCCCTGGCAGGGTCAGGGCTGTGGGACACAAACCTCTGTCACCCTGGCTGCAGCGCTGGACACGCTGCGATGGCCCTCACAGAGCTAAAGAGGGGTTGAGCTCCTGTTGATCCTGTATTTATCCCGTGTTTTCTTTCCCTCCATCCCAGAAGCTGCTCCAGGCACCACCAAACCAAGCTGGATTTGAAGCGGTGACCTAAAGGTGAGATACGTCAGGACCAATGTCCCAGGCTTGGCCACCTTCCCTGCTCCTTCCTCCGGCTCTGTAAAACCATGGAAAGCCACTGAAACTGCTTAGAAAAGGTTTTGTGTTTAATGGGATATTTGCCAGCAAATTCAAGCCATGAACGCTATATATTTCTTTATTTGTAAAGGTGTTTGAAGTCCTTGAATTTACCCTTTGGCCACCTTAAATCTACTTTCTAATCCCCAGCACAGTTAATCAAATCCACAGTGGTTTGAATTATGAGATGTCCAGGGGGAATTTATAGCTTGTATTGCTGATTATACCTTGACTTTATTATATTGCAAATATCTAACTTATGGTCACGGCTGAGATTTGCAGTCTTCGGGTAGGTGCTTGGAATAACTTTTAGCGACTTCAGACATAATTGGAGGTGACTGATGAGGCTGTCGATACAGATAAACATGTAATCTATAAAGTGTTAATGCTCTTAAGGCAGAGATAGAGGAGGCAGAGTAGGTGACAACGATGGAGCAGCCTCCAAAAGAAGAAAAAATGGGTAGATTGATGAGCAAGAGTCCAGGATAGCTGGACAGCCCTGCCTGGGAGGGAGTTTGGGGCATTTCAGTCTCCAGAAGGTCCCGAGAGGGATCTCCTCTCCAGAGAGGGAGATCTTTGTTCCTTTGCACTCTCACTCAGGAGGTTTTTAGGGAAATACCCCTGGGAAAGTGGGACGGGAAGTTAGGCAGAAGTCGCAGGCACTCACAGATCCCCGGGGCTGGTGGCACCACGCGGGTGACGCGGGCGCTGCCTTCCCCGCCGCAGGGCTCCCGAGGGTTCAGACAGGTCCACGCGGAGCCCCCGCGTTCGCCGCCCTCCTCGTCCAGCCCTGGCCGGGTCGCACAGGCCCTGGGGGAGCCTTGGGTCATCATGTGCTCCCCTCTTCCCAGCCTGACCTGCAGTTTCTCCCCCACCTTCCTGTGTCAGGATCAGCGAGTCCCGCGCGGGCCCGTGTCCCTCGGGCAGCATGACAAGTGACGTGGTGGAGAACGAGTTCGAGTTCTACTCCAAGGCTGAGAAGTACTGGAAGGACGTGCCCGCCACGGTGGACGGCATGTTGGGCGGCTACGGCCACATCTCCAGCATCGACATCAACAGCTCCAGGAAGTTCTTGCAGAAGTTTCTACGAGTAGGTAGCACGGCTCTGCTCCAGCTCGTCCTGGAGCTGAAGGTCACGGTCTGTCACGCTTCCAAAGACCTGTCCTTCTCCCAGCCTGGAGCTGGGCTCTTCCCCTCCAGGTGGGATCCTCTGTTCCTCACGTGCTGCCAGGGCTTTGCTGTGCAGCAGGTTCCCCTGTTCTAGGCAGGTGACACCCTCCCTGTCCATCAGGGCCACCTGCCAGCCAGGGCTTCAGCAAAGGAGTCTTGTCACCAACGGGACGGAGCAGCCGACACCCACGCAGCCCCTGCCCTTGTGCTGTGGCCCACAGGGCTGCTGCTCACCGTGCCCCAGCCCTCTGGTTGCCCCACTTCTCCACCACCGGCCCCGGGCACCTCTTGGGGTGCGAGTCAGGCCCTTGTGGTTGTCGTTCCAGGAGGGTCCCAACCGGACGGGGACGACGTGCGCTCTGGACTGTGGGGCAGGCATCGGGCGGATCACCAAGCGGCTGCTCTTGCCCATATTCAAAACCGTGGACATGGTGGATGTGACGGAGGATTTCCTCACCAAGGCGCGGAGCTACCTGGGGGAGGAGGGCAGGCGGGTGCGGAACTACTTCTGCTGCGGCCTGCAGGACTTCAGCCCCGAGCCCAACTCCTACGACGTCATCTGGATCCAGTGGGTCATCGGTGAGAGGCGCTCGCCGTGCTGGGCCCTCGCTGTCCTGGCCCATGTCTGGCTTCCCCTGAAGGGAGATGGCAGGGAGGGATTTGGGGACTGCTGTAATGACCAGTGTGGCATCAGTGTCACTGAGCTGGGCCAGGGGCCTGCACCCCTTCTTGCCCCACACAGGGTGAGAGGACACTGCACATGAGGCTCTTTTCTCCAAAGCCTTTGGAGGCCAGAACAGAGGTGTGGGTGGAATGGAGCTGGGCAGAGCCCACGGGACACAGTTTAGACATCCCCAAGCTAAAGATTCCACCGTCACCAAAAAACTCCGGCTGCTGCAGTCAGGAGGGATCCAGGCAGCAGCATCCCCTTCTCCTCCCCTTATACACAGGCTGCCCGGGGTCCTGCCCCATAGAGACCCTTCCCCATCACCCGTCTCTCCCTCAGCACCCTCTCCCTCGTGCTGTGTCCCTGCAGGACACCTCACGGACAACCACCTCTCCGACTTCCTGAAGAGGTGCCGCGCCGGCCTGCGGCCCAACGGCATCGTGGTCATCAAGGACAACATGGCTCAGGAGGGCGTCATCATGGACGATGTGGACAGCAGCGTCTGCCGCGACCTGGACGTGGTGCGGAAGATCATCCGCCGCGCCGGGCTGCACCTCCTGGCCGAGGAGCGCCAGGAGAACTTCCCCGACGAGATCTACCACGTCTACACCTTCGCCATGAGATGAGGGCGGCCGGCGGCGGCGGGGGGGGGTCTCCTGGGCCAGCTCAGAGCACAGGCTGCTGCTGCCAGGGCCGAGGGGTGAGGACGGCGCCTCCAGGGTGGCACGAGGGTGTCCGACTCCTCCTCTGCGCGGCTGGTGGCGAGGACGGGGCTTTGTCTGCCAAGTTGCTGCTGTTTGTGAAAAGAGGTGTTTGCCAAATACATTTTCCTGCCGTTGCACTCGTGCACGCGGGCTCTGCGCACGTCGGTTTGGTGCTGTGCTCGAGGACACTGTAGGGCACCTGGTGCTGTGCTCAGGGACTCTGCAGCAGGGGCCTGACGTCTCCGGGACCAAGGGGCCTCCCCAGCAAGAGCTGGGCTCCCTGGGCACCAGGGTCCCTGCGGCACGTGGCTGTCTCCCTGTGGGGACACTTGGCCCTTTCCCACTCGTGAATTCACTGCTGCCCCTTTGCTGCTGCTCACGGGTAGGTGAGGGCTTAAGTCAGCAACAGGTTGGGTACAGCAAGGAGGAGAGAGCCCTGCCCTTTGCCTCAAGGTGGATGGGGGAGGTAAAACCAAGTTCTGGGGCTCTGTGGGGCCTCTCAAACCCAGAAGCGGGTCCCCCACGTAGGTTGGCAACATAGGAGATGGACGTGAGCTAGGCTTGGAACTCCTGTGTCCTGGCCGAGGAAACAAGAACAGGGGTATCCTGGGCAAGGCCGTCCCTTTTCTCCAAACAGGCAGCTGAAAAGCTTGGATCAGCCCTGCGACCCTGTGGGGAGGGTCATCACGCTCAGGGCATTAGTCAGGAACCAGCCCTGGGATCCAACCCTGACAATAGATTTCGGGGCCACCCAGCCTTGGGACCCTCCAGGCGGTTACAATGACGGGCTCGCGCTGCCAGCCAGGACACCCGCTCCGATCCGGCAGCCTTAGAGCTGCTCCCCATAGATACCTGTTATCCCGCGCGCCAGGCGCTGCCTTCAAACACTCCCGTCTCCACGTTTACCACCTCCAGACGGTTTTGCCCAAGCCTGACCACAGAGCTGTGCCAACCTGACATGACCTAACGCGGGCACAACCGCTCAGACCCCAGCCCGTTCCTCTGCATCTTCCAGAGCAGCAGCAGCCCCAGCGCGCTCCCCTCCGCCAGCCTCTCCCCAGAAGACACGACCCCCTTGCTGCTGTTATAAAAGGCCTCATTTAATAGCTTGTTTTCCATTCCAGACACCAGAGCGTTTCATCACATTTTAAAAACACTGATTCACGAGGATGCACAGCTCCAACACAGGAGAAGGTTAAAATAATGATAACGCTGCTAGGAGGGCAATGTTGGGGGGAACAACTCTTCTGCAGCCAAACTTCACCTGTTGATCCCAGACCCGTTTGCAATCATTTGTACCTGCTCAGAGTTGCTATTTTCTCTCTGCATCTTCTTCTGCATCTGTTCTCCATGGAGAAAAAAAAATAAAAAAGGAAGGGGGCTCAGCTCCCCAGTCAGGCTTTGGCACTTCAGGAGGAACCAGGTGCCTAGAAGGGGAGTCAGACGGCTGCAGCAGGGCTGGCACATAGGACGTCCACGGGTGGCTCCAGAGATTGGAGCTTCCAGTTGCAGACTCTGGAAGAATCCAGAGCCCTGCGGTCATTTCTTGTCCCTGGGAAGGAGACCTTGAAGACCAAGGCCCTGGGAGTAGTTAGCAGGGCAAGAGAGGGGCCTGTAACATGCTGAAGAACGGGCTGGTGCAAGGCACGGAGCAGAGCTGCAGCCGGTTCTCACCCTTGCACGGGTAACGCTCCGCAGAGCCCGGCAGCAGCGGCTGCGGCCGCGCGGAGCCAGGCCGTGCAGGACACGCCGCGGCAGGGCTGGACCGGGCCGCCTCCTTCCGC